AAAGTCCTCATTCAAGAGCAAGTCACGGTACGACTCAAATTTAAAAACTTCTCCCATATCATTGTTTATTAGAAGATAATCTAGTCCTCTATTAGCTTTCGAAAAGTAGTTTAATCTACGTCTGAAGGCAACGATGATGTAGACTCCAGCTTTCTAATCATATTTCTGTATCGGGATATTCTTACATCATTTGAATGTGCAGGTACAAGAGGAGGTGAACACTTGCAATACACCATGACAATGAACTGGAAATCAAGTTACTGAAACAAGGTAGACTCATCAAACATGACTACCCCTTCATAACAAAGGTGGATTATGTAAACACTTACTGGAGATCTCACTTGTCAAATTCCCTTGTGGAAGACACAATTTAGTGTGAAGAATCCGACTTGAACTAGGACAAGTAGCTTCTTAGAGTGTTGCTGATATTGAGCTTGTAGCTTTATTTTATGAGTAGGTCCCCAGTTCTTAGTTTCAGTTTTGCAGAGAGTGTATTTATCTCATTTGTAGTTGTTTTGTTTGGACTACTCCATGTATCTGTACATGTATTCGATTTTGACAAATATTTACGATATTGTTGCTAATATCTTCACCAAAATGAATTCTAATTTTCTCCATTCCCTTTGTCGTTTTTCATTAAAAAAATAAGTTTTGAATTAGTGTATTTTCTTGTGAATATTTTTTTATTCTTTTAACAGACTGTTTTATTAGCACTTCTAATCAGGATTCTGCAATCATTTAAGTGATTGATGTTTAGAGATTTTGTATTAAACAAGTACTTTGTGTTGTCACCCGTTCTTAAATAAAAACAAAATTTAAACTGCATTGTAATTCAAAAATCATTTTTTATAATTTCATAGTCATTTAATTCTCGTGATATAATCTCCACATTTTTATAATCCTAATGTTAATATAACTTGTTCGGGATCCTAAAGTTGTTCACGACTTGAAAAGAAAAACCAGCTAGTGTTCAGAATCAACATTGAAGTCTGATTAAGTTTGAATCACGCACTACAAAGGCCATTCGACTGTGGTGCTGTCAACAAGATTTTCTCCTGGGCCCATTTGGGTGTGGCCCTCCCAACCAGACCTCTATAAATTCATGAATACGTTACATCTATACTATTTACTCATACCTCTTTACTATTTATTCATTAACCCTCTACAAAGGGTTCTGCTTCAGGTACTAACTTTTATTTAATCTATTGATTTAGAATACTATAATTTCCTGAATTAGCAAGTGGAAGACGAAATTAGGGTAGTTTGGAATTGTTTGACTACCTGATTCCTATGCAAAGGCGGAGCTAGGGTTTTCATCTTAACATCGAAAATATATTTTATGTTTGGTTTGTTCGAGTCATTACTTATTTATATTTTGATTCGTCTCAGTGAAAATCCTAGCTCCACCATTGATTATTAGGGAATTTTTGAATGTGATTGTGTACGTAAATTTGACCTCTCTGTTTATTCTGTATTGAATTGAGAGTTATGATTTCCTCCGAGTCTCGTATTTTAGTTAAATAACTTGTTTCATAATTCAGTATTTTTGCTTGAATTGACAGATAAAGTTGAAACTTTTGAGCTTAACAATTAAAATGCTTGTTTTCAGACGATTGCTGGTATGAAACGTCTATGCAAATCGTCAAATAAAAGCGTAGTTGAGTTGTCTGAGGATATCATAATTGAAATATTACATGGTTTGCCTTCAAAATCTCTGGCAAGGTTTATACGTGTGTGTAAGCATTGGCAGAAGTGTATTGCTGATCCATCTTTGGCTTATAGTTGTCGTTCTCAACGATGGAGTCCTCACCCTACCATGATAGGTTTCTTTTGTCAAAGTAGAGTCATCAGCTCTGAAATTCGTTTTTTAGACTTGTCGAGCAAAACATCATCAGAAGTGATTGATGGTAGTTTAGATGAGTTAGTCAATTTCCTTGGCAGGAGATTGTATATTATTGCATCCTCTAATGGTTTCCTTCTTATCGCTGAGAAAAGATCAAATCAGAGGGTTTATTATGTTTATAATCCTGCAACAAGGCAGCATTTTTCCGTCCCTGTAACTGAAACATCCTGTATGAAAGTAGCAGCCATCGGATTTGATTGTAAAGTAGATGACCCTGAAAAAGATGTGATCTCCTTTACTATAGTTCGTTATGAAATATGGTATTTTCTTCGTTCGAGTGTAACAATTGAAAGCTTCTCTTCTGAGACTAATGTGTGGACTACCATCTATCTCACGCTAGTTGTACCTCTCAAAGTCTGTCTTTCATGTTATAGGAAATTAGCATCAGCTGGGGTAATCGATGGAGTATTCTGTTGGATAGACCACGGAGCACAGATCATTTTTTATGATAGTGTCAATAGGCAATTCTGGGCTTTGCGAGTGAATGCCTTGGAACCTTGGTATCTTGGAGTATCGGATGGAGTTCTCTGTTATGCATCGTTGTACGAGGGAAAGATTACTATGTGGTGCCTTGAGAGCAATATTCGTAGTCCAGATGCAGTATGGGTAAGGAAATATGATGCAAATTTAATCGATGCATTAAGAAATAATCCTCCATTGGGTTTAGAAGCCGCGGTGATGTGTGTGGATATTCATCCTGCTAATCCACACATCGTTTATCTGAAAATAAATGGCACCATTGTTTCATATGACTTGGAAAAGAATATTATGGAATTTTTGTATGAAATCAGAGATGGAAACTACTTATTCTTTACTTACGAGTGGCATCAATGGCCTCGTCTTCTCTAAGAACTATCAACAACATAGTTTTGCAGGATATTCCAAAAAGTGGAAGTCTGATAGTTTTGCAGCATTTCAAGGAATTATTACTTAATTTAACAAGAATTCATTCTCTTTCTTATGGAATTGTTAAATAATATTTCCTCCGTTTCAATTTAAGTGACATTATTTGACCATCAAAAAGACTGTACAAGTTGCTCTGCCCAAAAAACAGAGCAATTGCAATGCAATTTCAGGCACCACGGAGTTGAAGAAAAGATGGAAGACTGATTTAGTTAAACAATTGGAGAGGAGACATTCAACAAACATAGGTACCCAAAGTAGCAATAAAAGGAAGAGGCCAGCCTCCAAAGTGCAGCAGAAGAAGAGCACAACAAATGAGTACAAGAATCCACCAAGTCTGCAAAGATATAATTTTGACTTTGACGACGATATGATCAATCGCGGCTGCTCCAAAGAAAACCTAACCAAGCGCGAGTCGAGGAAGAAAATGTAGGAAGCAACAATGACACAATTAGTGGAAGCAGCTCTTTTTTGTGTCCGCCAAGGGCGCAATACCTTGCTGATGTTGATTTGTATGCATTACCCTTAACAGTTCCGTTTTGAATCACATTACAACTCTGTGTATAGTTAATGTTTTAGCTGGATATATACGACTAAAATTCACTTGTATTGGTTAAATATGAATTCAAGTTAAGTGATTGATGCTCTATATTGGTTAGCAATAAGTTATGTTAAACAAGTACTTTGTGTTTGTCACCCGTTCTTAAATTAAAATTTCCAAATCGGATTTGGTTGATATATTAATTTATTTATTTAAAAAAAAAATCTCATCATTATTTAATTCTCGTGATGTAATCTCCATATAATTATAATCCTAATATTAATATAACTTGTTCACAAATCAAAGGACTTAAAAGAAAAATATTCTCGTCCTTCCTTTGGTTAGTTGATGGACTTAAACATTAAACATAAAACAAGCTCTATAAATTCTTTTTTTGATTTCAACAACTGGTGTCAAGAGCCTGCAGTGAAAGGCCAACCGAATTTTCTCCATACCCAACCTCTATAAATTCATTACCTCTTTGCTATTTTATTCATTAATGCTGTACAAAGGCTTCTGCTTCAGGTACTAACTTTTATTTAATGTATTGATTTAGCATACTATAAATTATATGACTACTTGATTCTAAGCCCTTTGAAGCAGAGGCGGAGCTAGGGTTTTCATCTGAACATCAAAAGTATATTTTATGTTTATATTGTAGATATTGAATCTCCTTGGTTTCTTGAGTCATTACTTGTTTATATTTTGATTCATCTTACTAAAAATCCTAGCTTCCACTATTGATTATTTGGGAATTTGGTTGTTTATGTAAATTTGACCTTTGTAATTATTCTGTATTGAATTGAGAGTTATGATTTCCTCCCAGTTAAAAAACTTGTTTCATAATTCAGTATTTTGCTTAACAATTGAAGTACTTGTTTTCAGAGGTCTGAGTATCACACAATTCTTATGGCTGAGTATTTATGATATCAGAGGGCTTACTATGTTGCAACAAGGCAGCATTTTTCCGTCCCTGTAACTGAAACATCCTGTATGAAAGTAGCAGCCATCGGATTTGATTGTAAAGTAGATGACCCTGAAAAAGATGTGATCTCATTTACTATAGTTCGTTATGAAATAGAGATTGGTTATATCAGATAATACACGATACAAGTAAGTATTTATCTATCTAAATATACTTGACTACGATCATTCAGACTCATTAAGGATATGTTGAGAGCATGTGTCATTGACTTTCAAGGTCCTTGGGACCAACCATCAATTGCCTTTAGAGATTCTTTTATCAGTGTCTTTGATTGGCAACTTTGACCAGCAATTAACTACAAAATGTACATTTACTGTGTATAGTACTATAAGTTCAATTTTTATCTTCATTCTTGATTACACCAGATATGTTGTTATCGTTGTATTCATGATTGGTTCTGCAACTTGAAGGCTCTTATATAGTAAGATTCACATTATAAAACAAATTTTAACTTCGCAAACTCTTAAAAACATTACATAGGCCATGTTATTAAAAGCAAATATTGACTAATTGCCATCTTGAAATGTATTTCCTAAGGCCACATATTTATACTCAATACCCATAATAAGTAATTAAAGGAGTTTTTTTCCTTCTTTTTTTCATGCCCCTTTTTATACAACAACTTGCCTACAACAACTTCAAAAATATAAAAACAAGCAATACATTTCAAATACATAACTCTACTTGCACAATTATTTTGTTCCCCATACCCAAATAGACTCATGAGACTCGTGTTCCCAGCCTCAAACTCCACGAGTTTTCAACCAGACACTTGATATCCGCGCAATTTCAAAGGGCAAGGAGAGTAGTAGTAGTTGTAGTAGACTGAGGAAGATTTGTAAGCATGTGAACAACTTCCCTCATAGTAGGCCTAGCACAACTCTCTTCTTCAACACACATAATAGCAATCTTGAACAAATTGATAACACTTGCAAGAGGGTAACTATGTAGCCTCGAGTCAACGACTGCTAAAACTGAGGCTGCATCAGACGGCTGAGATAATTCGGACATTGTTTTATTTACCCATCTGACTATATCTACACCGTCCCCGAATTCACCAACTGGCTTGTGACCTGTGATAAGTTCCAACAGTACAACTCCAAAACTGTATACATCACTCTTTTGGTCAACTTTCAATGTGTATGCATACTCTGTTTCATATCCAAACAAAAATACACCTCAGAAAAACATTAATTGCACAATTTAATGTTTTGGACAAAAGCTTTAAATAGATTTTGTCCTGGAGCATAGCTTTTAAATACCTACTATTTTTAACCCCAGTTCAGTAAATTCTAAAAGTTCAAAGGTCTTGGTAATTGGTACTAAAAGTTAGTGAAGTGTATCTTTCATGAAATAGGAAAATATTGACCAATAACACAGGTATATAAAAGGACTTAAGGGTCTATTTTACTCGGATTCTTCAAAAATGATGTTGCACCCGTGTCGAATCCTCCAAAAATGCATTACTTTTTGAGGATCCGACATGTACCCCAATGACATTTTTTACGAGTTTGAGCAACATAGCTTAAAGTTAATTAGTATCATCATAATTTAATCTATTATAGCAAGTTAATTAGTATCACATTTTAAGATTTATCATTAAATTTTACCAGTAACTACATTATATGCCACCTAATTGTATAAATATGACGACCATATGAGCCAGCAATAAAAGAATACTAATACGGAAATTCATAATTGTATAAATATGATAAATATTGTAACTGTATTAGTTTACCTGGAGCAATGTAACCATATGAGCCAGCAATAGAGGACATGCACTCTGATGCACCAGCATCCTGCAAGAATTTGGCTAGGCCAAAATCAGCAACATGAGCCTCGTAATCAGAATCCAGCAGAATATTATTGGACTTGACATCTCTATGAATAATCGAAGGCGAACAATCATGGTGCAAATAACACAATCCCTTTGCAGCTTCCACAGCAATACGGTACCTCGTCTCCCATTTCAAATGTGCTCCTTTGGCACCATGTAACATTTCACCTAAGCTCCCATTCGACATGTATTCGTACAACAACAAGTTTGTGTCTTTGTTTGAGACATATCCTAGTAATCGTACGATGTTTCTGTGCCTGATCCTTCCTAGTGTTTGGATTTCAGCTGAGAATCCGTGATCATGGTGTCCGGTTCCTCGGCCTACAAGTTTCTTAATTGCAACGTCGATGCCATTTGACATAGACCCTCGGTACACAACGCCAGCTCCACCTTTCCCAATTATGTTCTCCTCTTTTAAACACTCCAAAACATCCTCAGCTCTGAAATCAAGTTTCTGGAATGCTGTTAACTTCCAAAGTTTCGAATTCTTGAACTTTTCCTTCTTGATGAACAACACGGTAACTGCCAACAGCAATGCAACAGTGACTAAGATGATTATTGTAATCACCAATTGGGTAGTTGTGAACTTCCCAGCATGGATTTTGAGCGCGTTTTGTGGTGAATTGGAAGCTGACGGGCAAAAAGTAGCATGAGGCGAACAGAGTTTTGGATTTCCTACAAAATAAGTGTCATTGAAGAACTTTAGTTGTCCGTTGGTCGGTCTCCTTCCAGAAAGATCATTGTAAGAAAGATCCAAAACTGTCAAGCCATTCATCACTCCGACTTCTCCAGGAATGGCGCCACTCAGTTGGTTTCTTGACAAGTTCAGCGCGTTCAAGCTATTTAACTTGGTGATTTCTTTTGGCACTTCACCAACCAGTTGATTTCTGCTCAAGTCAACCAATGTTAGCCCTGAACAAAGCGCAATTGAACTCGGGATTTCACCTGTTAAATTGTTGCCTCTCAAGTTGATGGTCACAAGTTTATTCAAACTCGCAATTTCTTGAGGAATTTCACCGGACAATCTGTTCATATCAAGTGATAGAGTGACTAGATTCTTCAAGTTCCCTAATGACGGAGGAATGTTCCCCGTGATCCAGTTGTTGGAAAGTACAAGTTTAGTGAGATTATTCGCGTTTATCTCCGTTGGCAGCTCACCAGTGAAATAGTTGTTGTCAAGTTCAAGCATATCCAATGCAGGTAACTTGAAAAAACCAGCTGGAATAGTACCATTTAAATAATTCTTCCTAACGCGAATTCGAGTAAGCGATTTGCACTCACCAAGTTGTTCAGGAATTGGACCAAAGAAGTAATTCTCCATTAGAATCAGTGTCTTCAACTTCCCTCCTTTACACAAATCAGGTGGTATCCTTCCAGTAAAATGATTAACAGAAATATCAAGAAACAAAAACCTCCCGTTACGCCCAAGATTTTCGGGTAATTCGAGAGTAAAATTGTTTCCCCAAATTTGCAACACTTCAAGATTTGGAAGGTCACCAATAAACGGGGGAATTGGACCATGCAAGTTGTTTCTAAACAAGTTAATCAATGTCAAATTCTGCAACTTCACAAAACTCTCTGGTATTTCTCCGGTCAGTTGGTTAAAAGACAAATCAAACGACATCAAACTCTCTAAACCAGATAGTTCAGAAGGTATGCGACCTGTAAATCATAAACGAATCCAAGATTTAAATTTTACGAATTCAAGATTCAAAATTTATCAGAATTATGACTTCAAAACTTTATATGCATAATATTTTGCACATATACATATATGTTACGCAAGAACCTCTCTATTAACACTCATACTCTAACATCATTTCACTATAAACAGAGTTTTTCTCAAAGAGACTTTCTATGATATTCTCACTCCATTCACTTTTACTTATCTACTCTAGACTTTGCACGTCACTCAAGAAACAACTATTACTATTGAGAATTTTAAAACAATTTGATGTTCAGTCTTGCGTCTTGGAAAATGATTTGTAACAAATATGTTTCCTATAACAATATTTAACCATGTCAACTAATATATATTCAGACAAACGACGTTATTACAAAGAGATTTGATTGTATAACTAATTAACAAATAGTGAGTTCATGAATACCTGTAAGTCTGTTCACTTGTAGAAACAAAGTATGCAACTTCTTCAAATTTCCAAGACTTGGAGGAACTTCACCATCAAGATTACAATTTCCAAGATCAAGAAGTTTAAGTGTACTAATATTACCAAACTCAGATGGAATACCCCCTTCATAACTATTATAATAACCCAATCTAAGTTCTTCAAGATTTGGTAACAAAGCCAAACTCTTTGGTATTTTCCCAGTAAGTGAATTTCCCTCTAAACCCAACCACTTTAAACTTACAATATGAGAATAAACTTCTGGTATTTCACCATGAAAATAGTTTCCACCAAGATGTAAAGTTTCCAACTTTTCCAACTTTACAAACTCAATAGGAAGTTCACCAGTGAAATTGTTGTTATAAATGTCAAAAGATTCAAGCTTTATTAACCCCAACAAGATTTCTCTAGGAAAAGGACCAGAAAAATTGTTGTAAGAAAGATTAACATGTTTAATAGAAGAAAGTTGTGACATTTCTAAAGGGAGTGTACCAGTAATATTATCACCAAAAATAATAAGATTTTCAAGATTTTGTAAAAGACCAATTTCAGGTGGAATAGTACCAAATAGAGGAACATTAGTGATGTTTATAGATATAACATGAGAGTTATTGTTACATGTAACACCAGAAAAAGAACAATGGGAAAAAGGGTAATTTGTGTTGTTGTTCCAATCAAGAAGTGCAGAAGTTCCAGGAGCAACCATGGATTCTTTGAGCTTCAAAAGGGTTTCAAGATCAGAGTTTGCATTAATGGTGAAAACCAAAAAGATGAAAATTTGGAGGAAAAGGGATATTTTTTTGGGGAGTGACATTGTTACACTGTTAGTTCAGTCTGGTTTGTACAAATTTTAGGATAGGTTTAAGGGTATTTGAATCGTTGAGTAATTAGTACTGTTGCATTTGGCCAAAGTGGAAGGAGAATCAAAATTAACTTTTTGGTTTTGAATATATGTGTGTTAGGAAACAAAGTGAAGATACCACAGGACGTGGTAAATACTCCATCTCTACCAAATAATAATAAGGTAACACTTTTTGTTTCTCCATTCTTAATCAGAGCTTTCAAATTTAAATACGATACGGAATCACTTTTGTTAGAAAATTTTGTACAACTACTATAACACTTTTCAGCCTAATTTAGAATTAATCGAGTTTAAATATGGATATTGGATACTAAAAGACCCAAAAAAATATACAATTTTCTTTTATTTTATTAAAAATTATCATTTTTATAATATTTTAAAAGAGTAACTTCAAAAACTCTTTACTAATCAAATGATTTATAATCACCAAAATGAGGAGTTAGATCATAAATTTATAAAATTTTCCTTTCTATCTTATTTAAAATCTATATTAGGTCAAATAGTGTTACATAAATTGAGATTGAAAGAGTATATTTTAATGAACGAATCAACTTTTTCTAGTTTGAGGTCAAAACATTATTTATCAAAAGTAACTTCATCTAGAATTCAAATTTAAATTCAAAATCTCTTGTTAAGACGAAAAAGTATTGACTACTTCATCATAATTTTTGATAATTCCATCTCATATTTAATTAGCTTTAAATCATGATATAATTTCATATTTAATTACTATGTCACGTGAAGATTCAATCGAACTCAATAACTTACGTTTAAATCTCATATCTAATGGTAAAAAAAGTCATGGTGATATGTATAGATGTAAGTAAAATGATTGTAGCAGCAGACTTTAGAAGCAATGGTTAGATGAGAAACAGAGTAAATTACTGACGGCTTTTGTGAACTTCTTTTGATGATTGACGCTTCTGAGTCTGTCAGCTAAGATTTATACTAGAAAATAACAAAAATAATATCTTTATCTTTGGGTTATTTCAAACTAGTTTATTAAGTATAACTCTTTGTCATTTTGGTCCTCTAAATTTATTAAAATGAGCACTTCTAATAGTAAATTTGAGTAGTTTGTGATTTGCATCCTAATGCATGCACGTTTTGGTTACTTACATCTTATCTTCATTTTTAATGATTTGCGCCCTAATTCCTTACATTACCATAAAAAAGAAATGGTCGTAACTCATATTTAGAGTGTGATATTTGTTGTTTAGGCTATTTTTTTAAATCTATTTATTGTGTTAGTGTAGATTTTTATATGATTTGAAGGAGCTATTTTGTTACAGTATTTCACTTATTATAATTTTATAGCTATAATAATTAGTGCATCCATTGATCGATGCAATGATTGATATACTGATGTATTTAGTCATTTTTTATTTTATCTAGTATATAATTTCACCACATAATTATTTTAACAGTCGAATTTCTACACATCTATCTTGTGTGTATTATTAGACTCATTTTTGCTTTCAAACCTCCTGTTATGAATTATTAGAGTTTAACGCTCTAACATTCATTATCATATAACATTATCGATTTTATAATTATTTCGTAATTTTTTTCTTTTTTTACTTTGGTATGGTAGGGAGGCCCATTTGTTTTTTTTTTGGGGGAGGGGGGTGGGGTAATGGGTGGTTCTGGGGGCCATTGGCAAAGTCTGTGTGTGTCCTTTGGGTAAGAGACACTCTGTGATTTTGGCATGGCGTAAAAAGTCCACTCTTTTTGTTCTCTTCTTCCGATCCAACCAATCTCCACATCTTTTTCATAACTGTCCCACCATTTTCTGAAATTCAGCATGGTCATTTTAATTGTTTTTGGATTCTCAGTATAAAAAAAAATATTGATAGAGAGCGTTATTCATCGAATAAGCCTTTATTTAATGTGAATTTAGATTGATCGTGTTTTAATATTAATATCAAACAATATGTTGTTCTTCTTTTTATTAGAACACCAACAATATATTGTTTCATTTGTTCACTTTTATTGTCTCAAACTTTAATTTGATACTCAATTTAAGAAAGTATATGAGATATTTGTATCTTTTGCTCTTAAATGAAAGATATGTTAAATGTATCAAACTATTATTTAATCTGATAATCTTAAACATGTCACGTAAAAAGTTGAAATTAAAAAATTGCTAAAGAAAACAAGACATTCTCTTCTAAACAGACTAACAAGAAAAATAAGGCAAACAATTTTTTTTTTAAAAATAAATAAATAGAATGATAATTAACTATATCACCTTTAAATTTTATAAATGTTTTGAAAAATATATTTGAAAATGACTATGGTAAAAAATATAGACAATACTATTAGTTGACTCAAATTGATTAAATGTTATTGTATCTAATTGTGATTGACGGAATCAGAATCATCCAAAAAGAAATTAAAAGGTTGTACGCACTTTGTCTCTCCTTTCTTTCTTAATTTATTTAAATTTAAAGTACAACTTTTTTCTTATTCTTGTCTTTACATTATGAAAATCAAGCTTGAGACCTTGCATCGTACAAATATTTTTTGGAGATTGCACTCATATATCTTTCCTTTTTTTTAAATGCAGATATAGAATATTAGGCAGAATCAAAAAAACAAAGCTAATTGTAGTTTACGCTAAAACTAACACTAACAAGTCATTTCGTATTTAGTTATTTCAGGATTGCTATTCTATCCTTTATGTATAATAAAAATAATAAAGTTATGGGATAAATTATTCCGTAATTTTATCTATATAAAATATAAAATAAACTCATTTTAAAATTAATTATATAATTAATTATTTCTTATTTCTTATTTCTTGTACCATACCAGTCCTTCCTGATGTTCTTCTCAAACAAAGGTTGTCCAAATTTATATCTTTTTCCATTAAATTATTTTTGACAACACTGTTTTCTAGAACTATCAAATCCCAATCCAAATGTTAAAAAGAATTTACTTGCTGGATGACACTCTCACTTATAATATTTTTTTATTTAGATTTAAAAAGAGGTTAATTTTGAGTCGTCCTTGTTGCACGAGGCAATATTAATGGGCAGCCAATATTTTTTTATTTTTTATTTTTGTAAATATATATGCTATACAGAATAAAGTAACTTTGTGTTACTACTTTAATACTTTATACTTGATAAAAAAGAAGAAAAAATAAAAATATCAAACAACTCCTAAGTATATTACTATTATATTTTAAAGAGAATTTATATGCGGCAGAAATTGTGTCAAAAAAAAAAGTAGAATATATTCCCTCTTTTATTTTTTTATCCCTTGAACGATTTAATCCACTATGAAAGCTAAGGTAGAATAGATTCTTATTCTTTGTGCAAAAGTCTTTAGTGGGTAATTTTACATTTAGGTATTAGAATCTAAGAATAAAATAAATACTTCTTCCATTTTGCAAATCCAAATAGGGTGATGTTCCATTTCTTAGAGTTTAAAGAATATAAATTTACTTTATAATAATTATTTTAATTGGATATTTTATAGAGCTAGCTAATGACTTATCTATTTGGCAAGTATAGTTTTGTTAATTTATGTTGTTACAATGTTCATTAGAAGACACGTTACTGTTTGACCTAACAAATACAAACAAGTAGTGAATTAAATAATCATTTATATTGCGATTATAATATAAAGAATATATAAAGTCAACAAATAAATGTAGAAAAAACGAATATACATAAGGGAAAAAAGAAAGTGAGAGCAAGAGAATACTGTATTAAAAAATGAGCAAAATATAAATAAATCACAATTCACGTACACTTTTATATACCTTTTTGTAATGTATTCTAAATAACTTCTTCAGAAATTAGAAGTAATAGTACTAAATAATATTTTTTATATAGAGCACCAAATAATCATTAAACAACCTATTATTGATTTGATTTCGTAAATTGTTGATAATCAATTTCATTGGTGAGAAAAAGAGTGTGCGAAAGTTATAAGTGTGTTTTGATTTAATAGTCGCAAATTACGATACTTATGAGTTAGGCATACAATACACGTTCGAACATTGTTGCCACACACAAAAATCTACTCCCTCCGTCCTATTTTATGTGATACTTTTTGAATTTCGAGATTCAAACAAGTTTATCTTTGACCGTAAATTGTTCATAGATCTTTCAAGCATTTTGAATTATTAATTATTTTGACTTATAGTACTTTTTTATGTAGTTTACAGATATATAAATTTCATCTCAAAAAAATTGAAGATTAGATGCGCAAATTCCTGGTCAAACTTAAATTGTTTTACTCTCATAAAACGAAAATTGCCACATAAATTGAGACAGTGTAAATAGTATTTAAGTATTAGATAAGAATTAAAAAACGAGTTCATTATTAGTCGAGTTTTAGATTGCACACAGCTAACCCTCAAAATTTATAATTATGAGAAAAAGAAGAGAATGGTTTTCAAACGAACTATCATGCAACATCAAGAATAGTTTGACTAGCCATAGCACATGCACTTATTACGAAGATTCTTTGCTAGATTTGTGTTGTGTGGCATGGTTGAGCCAACTACCTATAATGGCTAAAATCGATTTTGGTCATGTACTTAATTATCTCAATTTGAGACTTGAATAAATATTCTTCCCTGCAACAAGTTTCACTTCGATTTGCAATTTGGTTCGGAACGAAATAGTCGATAATGACTAATATGGTCAAGCTAAAAAACTTAGATAGAAAATTATATTTGAACACTGTTAATGAAATTTCTAACATCGATGACTCTGACTTCAACCAAATAATTGCAGGGAATAGGAATCAAATGGGTCGTGGCATCTGGTTCATATACAACATATTCACTTCATGAACTAATGGCTATAAATTCGTTTTGTCTGTAAGAACAATAAGTACGAATCAAACTTTATCAACTTCAATGTCTCATTCTGATGGCTAATTTTTTTTAAAATTATATCGAATCAAAATAGATCGAACAAATTAGAGTAGCATGATAGGTCAGTTTTAAAGGATTTATTGGACTCTGGGAA